ACCTAGTAAAATGAATAGGAAATCACACCCTAAGACATTCCTTAGCCTAATTACTCTCCCCAAAAACATTAGCATAATATTAATAATGGTCACACTTGATCTAATTACATCTACCAAAGTTAGCAACTTTCAACGAAAAAATTAAAATCCAAACTTAACGGCCAAAATCCTTTTGTTTATTTGCACAAGCTACGTTTTGTAGCTAGAACTCAGGGCAAACACTAAAGAGGTCTCTAAATTGCTGGATTTCCATGTGGCATTGCTTCATTGTTACAGCTAGCGTTCGTATCTAGTCGACATTCGACAAGTGGCTGCATCTCTTTCGGCATGTACCTTAGCTACCATTTGCTCCTTGTAGACACTCGACAAGTGGCTGCATTTGTCTTGCCATTGTTTTCATCAATGTTAGCTATGGGATCCTCACTTGTTTCTTGTAGGAAGACCTTTACTACTGTACTTGATTTGGTATGAAACCTAGCAACCTCCGGTTCTTTATATAAATCCATTTTGTAAGCGATAATAGATCGACCTTATAATAAGGTTGGCAATAAGTTGTAAAGGTTTAAACCGGGTTAAGCCTCGGCCTCATACTGTGCCATCGTGTTACTAGGGTTACTTGGTACAACCCAAGCCGCAATAGCTAGCTTAGTAAATACAAAGTATCAAAAATGATACATATGACTAATTTAATTTTACTTTGAAGTTTTTCACCTTCATGATAGCTTGTTTGTTAATGAATAATTATATTGGCCTTTTCTTGGCTTTTGATTGTTGACATCTTGGGTGTTCAAAATGCTAAACATGTGCGTCAGTTAGAATACATAATTAACACTTTATTACGATTTATTACATATATTTCTTCATATTGCTAGAATTTCTTAAGATTAGTTTAAAGACATCACAAATGAAGTTATTGAAGTACTCACAGAGTACATATAACATGATTTTTGTGTCATAGAATTTATAACCGAAGCTAAATTCTTGTACTACATATATATTTCTCCAAAAGCTTGTTAACTATAAGCCAATTATGTTCATAATTTAAAATGTAATTTTGGAAGGAAAGTCTCTTGTAACATAAGAAACTAGCATGCATGAGTTGTGCTGATTATATACCTTAATGAGTAATTAGCACTAAGTTTTTCAAATACGTAGTAGAACATACAAGTAAATTATTTTGATATTTGACAAAAACTTACTTAATTTAGGAATGATCCATAGTGTTTTAGATCTAACTGGCATAATCTTGGCAAGTTGCACGATCAAAAGTGATCATTTTCCTCATTATGTACAATACATACCCTTTTTAGAAAAAAGGGTTTGGGGTTGTATCCAAAACAAATTTATGAATTTACCAAGCAAATCCACCAACTTGCACTAATTAATACAAAGTTTGAACATCATTAAAATGCACTTTGCAATTTGAAAAAAAATAAAATAAAATAAACAATCCAAGCTCTTACTACCTCCATTTTTATTTAGTTGACACGTTTTGACTTTAGCACTATTCACACCCCTTACTTTGACGGTGTTTTGTGCTTTATATGTAATGAAAAATATAGTCACGTGGGATCTTGTTAATTCGTCATGTTGTATACTTTCAAAATATCAACTTTTCATAATTTTTGCTTATTGGTAATTAAAGATATTAATAATTGAATAAGTGCATTGACAAACGTGACTAAACAAACGTGTCAACTAAAAAGAAACGGAGGAAGTATTAGTTAGTCAACTTAAAAGCAAGCAATGCATCAAAGGATTATGAGAAATATTTTAAGGTTGTTTTTAATTTGGTTTAGAAAAATCCATTTTGAAATGAATTTTAGTTTATGAAAATAAACTTGGGGGTGAGGGAGGAGAATTAATCTCACCTTAGGGCCTGTTTTGATTTACTGAACTGATTGGAGCTTAACTAAAATAGATAGAGTGAACTGAACTGAATATTTTATGAGAGAATGAAATTAGGAACCGAACTGAATTGATATGAGCTAAATTGAAGTGAACTAAACTAGATTTAAGATGAAGAGAACAAGCCTTTATTTTCTTCGTACCCATTGTAACATGTGGAATAATATGATATAAACGAGCTTTAGGCACACATGGTGTGAATGTCTACTTTATAAGTCCAAGGAGGTTTCACGTCCAAAGCATATGACAATGAGAAGAGTAACAACTTAACTAAGTAGACACAATTTTATTTTTATTTTTTTCTTTAATGTGAGATACACATCCCAACATGCACTCTTACATTTACAATCTTTTAATGTGAGGCCATACTTTCACTTATGGACTCATCACTCACTCTCACATGTGAATTGCCATGTGAGTTGCCATAATACTAGTCCATATCACAACTCAACTCATCCTCAGATGTGATACCGCAATATATGATCACCAAAAGCTTAAGGATGCCCATCCGTTGACAACATTGAACCACTCCACACTCCCCTATAGGTAGCTCAATCTATTTTAATTAGAAAAACTAGTAATTCACCATGAACATCCAAATAATAGGTCGTTTGATGGCCCAATCGGGTTCTGAATGGGATGAAATGTTAGGTTTATCTTATGCGAAGAATAAACATTTATTTTTAAAAAAATAAATTTGTAACACTCTGGTCTTTCTCTTATGTAGAGCTGTCAAAAGCTGACCCAACCCGAAATACCTACCCTAACCCGACCTATTAACCGACCTGTTTGAACCCGAAAAAAGTGATGATGACCCGAACCCGACCTTACCGGACCTGAAACCAACCCTTGACCCGAGTATTTGAGACCCGAACCCGAACATTAACCGACCTAGAGACGACCCAACCCGAATGTAACCCGTAAATAATTGACCTGAACCGAACCCGACCTGAACCGAAATTGACCCAAACCCGTTTTAACCTGTCAAAACCCGAATTCAACTCGACCTGTTCCTAACCCGATCCAAATTCAACCCGACCTGTTCCTAACCCGACCCGAATTTAACCTGATGTGCTACAAACCCGACTCGAATTTCAACCTGACCTGTTATAAACCCGACCCGAATCAACCCGACTTGTTATTGACCCGACCCTAATTCAACCCGACTTGTTATTGAATCAATATGCATAGGTCGTTATCTCATGTTGGTATTGGAACGGAAATTGAATCCTAACTTTATTCCTTCAATATTTCACTTTGAATTTTAAGAGGTTAGTTTCACAACTTGTTTTTAGGGACGAATTTCAGGGACGAAACATGTTTTTCGCAAATTATTGACTTGAACCAAACCCGACTCGAACCCGAGAATGACCCGACTTGATTATAACCCGCAAATTATTGACTTAAACTGAACCCGACTTGAACCTGAGAATGACCCGACCTGATTATAACCCGTAAATAATTGAGTTGAACCGAACCCGACTTGAACCCGAGAACGACCCTAACTTGTTTAAACCTGTAAAGACCCGAATTTAACCCGACCTATTTTTCACCCGACCTGAATGTAACCCGACCTTTTACTAACCTGACCTAAACCCGACCCAAACCTGATAAGATGTATGACCCGACTCAAGCATGACCCGCATTTTGTTATGACATTAACGCGTATTGACCCGACCCGAGATGACCCGACTCACACTAAATCGACTCAAACCCGACCCGTTTACCAGAATTGACAGCTCTACACTTATGCTATAATTTAGGGAAAATAGTTATGTGAATTTTTGTTAAATATATCTTAATTCATGATACTCTCACAATAATATGGGTTACTTGGTCAGTGTTAGAGGAGTGTTATTCGATCAGTATTACAGGTTTACTTGATCAGTGTTATAGGGTTTAAATTTGATCTTTTATAAGTGGTCACACGGGGTGGCCAACCACACACAAGACGGGATATAATGTCATATCCTAAAAGTTTTATATATTGGTAATTTAAGATATTAGTGATTGTAATGGTGTATACATTGACAAGCTTGAATTAATAAGATTGCAAGGGTAAAAAAAAGAAGTATATAAATAGAGGATTAAGTTTTCACCTAATCTCTCAAAAATCTTAATAGTGTATAACCCCTCCAAGTTATTTTTTACTATTAGGACAGCTAAGCGCTTGATGCGAGCATCATAGCTAGCTAGTTAGGGAATTTCTTGGTTTGGCCTTATGTTACAACTTTAATTTATTGTTCGTAGCGCTAATTAGGCAAAATATGTAAACAAATATTGTTTAGGGGTATAAATGTCCACAAACTATTTTTAAGAGTTAAAAAAACAATTAGAATTAATGAGAGCAATTATGTAAATAAATGTTTTAGGGGCACACTACTACTACTACTACTAAAAAAAAAAAAAAAAAAAAAAAAAAAAACCCTATTAAGTCGGACTTTAGAGTCACATGTACATAAGATGCGACTTATAAACCTATCGAGTTGCCTCATACTTGTTAGGCGATTTGTTAAGTTGGGGTTAAAATCATTAAAGCACCTAACGAGTCACTTAATATATTATGAGGCGACTTGATAGGTTAACAAGTCGCCCAATATTTGCATACGACTCTATAAACCAACTTATTCGGTGGTTTAAATTAGGCTATCAAAGTCACCTATACGTAAGGTGCGACTTGAAAACCTGTCGAGTCGCCTAATATATATTAAAAGTAACTTGTTTGGTAGGTTGTATGTCATTTGAGCTATTTAAAGAAAATACCTATTAAAAATCAACTTATTTTTTGTTAATTAAAAGATTTGCTTAATTTGAGCTAATTACGTAAAGATTGGCTTATTCTCGACAAAATTTACAAAAAAATATCTAAAGTTTATTATGCGTGGAAATATGTTATTCACCCCCCTCTTATACTTTATTGGTTATGTCATTTCTCTACGACGCAAATTGAAAAAACAAAGGAAGTAACTGATTGTGATGTATTGCATATGAGTATATGACTTTCCCTTTACAATTTTGGGAAGTAGTAAAAGAATAGAAAGTAACAAATTGTGACGTATTGCATATGACTTTCCCTTTACAATTTTGGGAAATAGTAAAAGAATTTCAACTTTGGACAAAATCTCTATACACTTTTCTTTATTTTCTTCTACGGAGTATATAATAATACAACAAATGAACAAATGTACAATGAACAAGATTTACTCTTCCCTCTAAAAAAAGATTTACTCCAAGAAAAATCGTAACAGTTACAAACTACACGAGCAATTAAAATAACCCCACTTTAGTATGATTGAGTATGAGACAATAGATAGCGGGGTTAACTTTCCCGCAGACAAATTGATGGTCCAAATGCTAAAGCATGCTTAAAAGCCATCATTATAGGACTAAATATACAAGCAAGCATGGCCTAATCTTGCAACAAATCACCCTTCTTGGTCCCTCTTGATCTTCTCTACAGATTACCGCGATCCGAATTAAGCTAAACAAGATCCATTTAGCTCTAATTAAACTCATCAAAACAAATTTCTTCAACTTTGTGGGAAACAGTTTATCACTTAAACTACTAAAAATAGTCATATTTCTAGTCCTACACTCCTACTCATATCTTTACATTTGTTCTAGGACTCTATAGATCTTCCGAGAGCTCGATTCGTTCTCTCAAACTTTCAAAGGGCCAAAGAAACATTGTTAATCAAGCAAAAGAAGATCAAAGGGGGTGTGACAGCAGAAGTTTGAAGTAGGGAAATTTCTGAGAAAAACAGAAAGTAGCTTAGTTTATATAATTAGTAATAGTACTAAACTACTAATTTTGGTGTGTCAAGAGTTGATTTAAAATGCAAGTTGGAGGGAAAAGTGCCATGTGGTAAGCTCAGAAGACTTCACATGGTTTCTCTTACTCCAAAGTTATATCTCTTTTAAATGCTATAAAAACTAGGTACCTAAAAAACCAGTTTATGGGTTTTTCAAGAGAGAATCCTCTGTTATTTACTCTGAATTTATAGCCTAGTTTATTCTTCAAGTACTTTCTGATAGTGAGTTCAAAGGGTCTCATTTTCTCTCTTCATATATGATACTGATTTTGATTTTCTCTTTTCGGATATAATGTTCGTTTTCGTGTCGAACATATTTCTATCTTTAGCAATCAGTTCTTAGGATCAAATAGGAAAACCACTTGATATCATTGAAGAAACTATCCAACTCCCAAAGAGCTTAAACTCGAGTGTTTTTGGTAGTATTGTTGCTTGTTCTTGGACTAAACATTTTGTTGTTTCGTCGTAGCCAGACATCAATTTGTTTATCACATTTTTAGATCCAAAACTACATCAATCCAATAGAGTGATTCCCTTGTTAAACAAATTACATAGTTCTATTCAAAGAAGAAGAAATGGGAAGTTGTTCATGTTTAGTCAGAAATCCACTTCCTTGGCTTGCTGCCCTTGGATGTTTATTTGTCTGTTCTCAATCTCTAGGGTTCGGGTTTCTTACTATCTTCCTTACATCATCAGCTCTTATTCTATGTCCTGTAATTCTTTGTCGGTTAAAGTCCTACGAGCAGAAATCAACACGAAGAGAACAGTCATGTACGCGTTCCACTGAGAAGGTTGTTTCTGAATCAAGTCATCAACAGACAGATAGCCCGTTGAATGAGTCATTGCAAGAAGAAAAAGAAGAAGAAGCTGAGAGCAAAATACATGAAACAATACAGGAAAATGTTGCTAGATTTGAAGAAGAAAAGATGTCAAAACACAAAAGACAGCAGAATGAAAATCACAGGTCACCAGAAATACTGCTGTCTGACAGTGAAAGTGTTGATCACACAACTTCAAGTGAGGATTCAGAAAACGATTCTATGTTCAGAGAAAATCTGAGTCACAGCACAAACTACTCAGACGGGTCAATCTCAGACGAAGAGAGTCTAATAGAAATCGCGCTTCCAACAGGCCACTATGTCGACTCAAAGAGATCACAAGAGCCATCATGGTATGGATTTCAGCATCAGAAATGGTCATCAGACTGCTCATTAAAATCACATTTCAGACAGCAAAACTGGATGGAGATGCTAAACGAAATGAACGAAGAGAACTTCATTGAAATCGATCTCTGCATGGGATCCATCAAGTGTTCAAGGTTTGAAATTCAAGCATAATCATAAAAAATTTATACACAAAAAATTTTACTCCCAATCGCGGTTGCTTGTGAATTGATTAACTAGTACTTGTTCATTAGCCCTTATTTTTTTATCCGATCACGGATTTTTCCTCCCCTTGTTGGGGGTATAATAGCGTATTAAGATTGGAAGCATGTTTGTGTTACGTTGTTAAACTTTTGTGCTATCTTTGCATTCACCTCGGATGCCATTTGAAGCACAAAGTATATTTCTTTTTGCTAAATCTTACTGTGATTAAAGTAATTAAAACTCTGACAGCCATTTCTGTTTTATATTGCATACTCTAATTCTTGATCTTTGAAACACATTTTGTTAATTTGATTCATATGTCAGATCTTTTGTTTGTTTTCGCCTTGATTTTGCTGACAGATTCCTGTTCAACGCTTAGTTACGAATTCCAGTGATTAGTTTAACTTACTTCTATGAATCCACATAGCACAAGTATATTCCAACAATGATAAGGTTGTTAGATGGTTAGAGGTCACGAGAGTAAGAGATAGCTCATATGGTTAGAGCTTACCTCCCGATTCTAAAGGATCCTGATATCAATTCTCATCATCTGCATTATATTGCTCATTACCCGCAGAGAAGGATAATTAGATCTTTAGTTATATGTAATTATTTTAATTGCGAATAAGATCTTGGCCATTTGGGATCATGAAAAATTATTTTGTACAATTAGATAAGATAAGACTCATAAGAGAGACATAATTGCACCAACATATTCAATTTCTTAAGTGTTAGTTTTGGCATAGATAGAGGGATAAACAATGTCATTAGATATATTTAGATTATTATTTGATGAGAGTTGGAACTAAATTAGTCACTAGTACAACTACCAGGAATTCAGGATAGCTAAGCAGCTTAAGTCAACTCACAAATTTATGTACAACTATATCATATTCTTGAATTAGCAAGTTGATGAAGATTATTTTTAATGAGACAAAGTTCATGATGTATACCTTTGCCTAATCTACCATGTCATTGACAATACAGCTTCAGAAAAAATAAGAGGGTATGGAGTCATCAACCAATTAACAAGACTACAAGAGCGAAAGCAAAGTCATGAATATGCCATAAACTGATAAGTACTTCACTTATCAGTTTATGGCGTGTTAGGTACCTAACATGTTAGATTATTTCGACAAAATCAAGTATACATCCATGTCATCAGTTAGAACAAGTGTTACCAAAAAAAGATAAGTGGGCCTATAGAGTTGGGCCTAGTTATCCTTGTGAGCCAAATAATAGAATTTTAAGAAAAAATAGTGAGCAAATTGCATAACCAGGGCCTAATTAAAATAAAAAATGAGATTTAATTAATGTAATTATGGTTGATAAATGAAATTGGGCATATACTAATAGTAGGGCTCACAAATTTATTTGTATATATAGCAATTATGTGGAAATCTTTACATTAAATTACTATCTGCTTTCGGCTATATTAAGAGTCTTAAAATTCTTAATTAGCTGATTAATTAGATGATAGGGCAGTTGACTGATGCTAATGATTTTCTTGCAAAAACCATGCTTTTTGTAAGCAGCCATGCTATTAGCAAAAGTTTACTTTATTTGGACAAAGTTAAAGCTTTTTGTGATTTTTATAAATTCATTTTTATGTAAAAGAATCAAGCAAGCTAGGTCCTGGTTGCTGATCCTTTATTGAATCAGCATCTTCATGATCGAAGACCGACAGTGTTTAATAAACTCGAAAAGCTAACGAACGCCATACCTACCGCCCTTAAGCAATAAAGGCCAGACTTACAAAAATACAGAGTATTTCATTGATCTTTCAAAGCTTTTTATGTTGTATAGTGCAACACTGCATTTCCAGGGAACTTCAAAGTTTAAGAAAGAAAGTTCAGAGTTTTTGAAAAAAAGAGTTGTATACTGCCTATTGTCTTCAACAGCATACTCTCAAATTTACTTTTCAATATATAATCGTTACTCTTATTTAAGTATGTGCAACACTCTAATGTAACATGTCTGTTCGAGCAAAACTAGTACGTACAGGGTACTAAAGGTAGATTTTATATAGAGTAGTGTACTTTTTATTTTTATACGTAGTACTACGTATATTATACTGTACTCCGTATAATGTTATAGGAGTAGCTTTTATGCAAGAAAGATATACATAGTAGATTAGTAACCCTATTTTTTTCAAAGTACTCCGTATTTCAATTTGAGAAGATATGATTTAATTTATTATTCATTATCGAGTAATAATTAATGGAGCTACTAGCTAGAACATTGGATAATTATCAATTTTTTGGAAGAGTTTACCATTAATTAAGAGCAGGGGTACGGTGACCATGGGACGGGTACCCGTACCGTTAGTACTAACGGTTCGGGTACCCAATAACCAAAATCTCTGAAAGTGATATCCATAACTCGAATCGATAAGTTCGGGTACACGGACTTTGGGTACCGGGATTTTTGGATCGGTTATCGGGTACCCAATAAGATATTGAATAATGATATTTAAACTTAATTATGTAGCTATTATGATATAATTTACCACTAATTAACAACAATATCTTATGATTTTAACCAAATTATTGATAATATTACTAATCATTGATATAATGAAGTAATTATGAAGTAAAATAAGAGTTTAGATTTTTTATTTTTTTTTATAAAAAAAATAGATTTAAGGTAGGGAAAAAAGCAAAAAAATGTTTATCGGATCGGATCGGGTAACCATTAATTTTAAAATGATACCCAATAACCAAACCCGATAAAAAAATTATCGAAACGGGTACCCGAAACGTTATGGTTATCAGATCGGGTACCCTAATTTTCGGAACGATTACGGATCGGTTTTTCGGGTAGTTTTGCTCAGCCCTAATTAAGAGTATGTTCACTTCAGCTTAATTTCAGTTCAGTTTAACTCAGTTCAGTTTCAACTCATTTCAACATTAACATTTTTTTTTTTTTTTTTTGATAAAAACATTAACTTATTCTGAGGCAACATTGAAGTAATGATTTACCATTCAAGAACTATATCATAATTTCTTCCACTTAAAATATTACAAGTATTAATAAAGAAAAAACCTTTATTCCATGATTTCTCATGGATCATTTTTTATTTCAATTTTCAATTTTTGTTTAGATACGCATGGACCACTATTTTTTAGATATCAGCGCAATTGTTAAATGGCTATGAAGTCCAACACACATGCGTAAATTCTCTTTTCTTTTACTCGTAACTTTCAGTATTTGTATCTTCTATAAAACTTTAACAAGTAGTTGAAAGAATTAAGAAACTCCCACCAAGATTATGGATGATAACTAAGGCCCTGTTTGATTCACCTTAATTTTGCTGAACTGAAATTATTTTTACTGAACTGAACTTAATTTTACTGAACTGAAATTATTTTTACTGAACTGAAATTATTTTTACTGATTTTCTATTATAATTCTTCTTTAAGAAAATTGAATTTTACTGAACTGAACTTATTTTTACTGAACTGAAATTATTTTTACTGAACTGAAATTAATTTTACTGAACTGAACTTATTTTTACTGAACTGAAATTATTTTTACTTAATATTATTTTTTTAAGGTGAAGAGAACAGGGCCTAATTTATTGCAAATGGTACATAACATAGCTTGTCTTATTGGAGAAATCATTATCTATTTATACTACCTCATATTATTTACAACGATTAGACTCGTTTTATACGGAGTATTATTTACAATATATTTAGATATAATCTAGTCACACTTTATATAAAATTATTTCAAATTGTATAAACATAAGTAATACAAGAGATTATGAACAAATCCTGTTTATTAGAAAACAATTGTAACACATGTGTCTTCCCATATGATAAAACTAAGTGCCTGTTCATATATTTACTGAACTAAGCTGAACTAAGCTGAACTGAACTGAACTGAACTGATTGGAGCTGAACTGAACTGAATTGAACAGATTGGAGCTGAACTGAACTGAACTGAACTAAGCTGAAATGAATATTTTATGAGAGAGGGAAATTAAGAGCTGAACTGAACTGAACTGATTGGAGCTGAACTGAACTGAACTGATTGGAGCTGAACTGAATTGAACTGATTGGAGCTGAACTGAACTGAACTGAACTGAAAATAAGTAAATATGAACAAGCCCTAAATACTCTAAAAGATATTATTCATTAAATCATATCTAAATCCTTAAAAAATATTGAGTATACTTATTTACTACTCTATCAAAATGGAAAATTTATCACAAAGTTTGCACATTAAAAATTTTGTTGGTAAGATCATCATTTGCTTGCTTTCCTAGTCACCAAAGTCTATTAACTATTACTAAAATAGAAATCTGCTGACATCTTAGAGCTCCCCTCCCGATCCCAGGTGATCCTAGGATTGATTTTCATCACCTGCTCTTGTGGCTCTCTAAACACCAAAAAAAAAAAATCCTCTCTCCCAAATGTATATATGTCACTTTCTCATGAAATTTTTTTCCTCCAAATGCACTTATGATGTCGTCATATATATTTTGTTTTGTTTTTTTTTGTTTTGGCCTTGTTTGGTAGTTAGCTTATTGGGGGTATATTAGCTTATTTGACTAACTTTAGCTGATTGACTAGTATAACAAGCTAATACAAGTGTTTGGTACTAAGCTTATTGAAATATTTTATTCCACTAAATAAGCTCTTTTTAAAAAAGCTCATTTTAGGAGCCTTTTCAATTAGCTTATTCATTAATTATTGTGAAATTACACTTATAACCTCATTTAATTTAAAATCCTATCTAAACTACCTACCCCACAATTAGCTTATTGGTCATTTCACATACTCAATCACCTTTAAGCTATCAGCTATTTACCAAACACTTTTATATTATCAGTTAATACAATAAGTTAGTCAAATCAGTTAATAAAATCAGCTAGTCAAAATCAGCTAACTCAATCATCTTCAGCTTTCAACTTTCAGCTTTCTGCCAAACAGGGCCTTTGTTTTTTTTAAGGAATTGGTTATTTATTTTTAATCATTTTCATTTCAATTTTTTTACTGTCTCAATAAATAAATAAATAAATTTTATTTTTGGTTGGAATAAATAAATTGATATCTAGAATTGACTTTCGTTTTTATATTTTGATACTCATGTAATTTATGATGATAGCTGCATATCTTTTATGATATAATAGAATTAAGCTATTTCATTTCAATAATTTTTGTAATCCGTGCATCGCAGTGCATCCCACGGGTCTAATCTAGTAATAAATAAACTTACAAAATTTGTGCGTAAATTATGGTCTTTTTTACTTCAC